ATCTCCACTCAGTTCAATTTTCCTTTGGATTCCGTGGGTAGGGCGAAATAATTGGAGTGTGTTTAGGGGAAAGTCAATCAGAGAGCTATGTGTTAGTCATTTTGAATACGCTTCACGCCTCCAGAATGCCTGAGTGACACTGAAATTAATGGATGAGATAAAAAAGTCAGTTAGGGGTGTAACGGAAAATTGATCTGAAAACCCCTCCCGATCACCCTCATTTGATTGTATTGACATTTATTTTGACATTTTTACCCTCGTTATGGATGGTGCACCTTTGACCCTCGCCGGTGTAATGTTATTTGCTTGGTTAACTGTCTTATTTGACTTTACACTCGGTATTTGCCTTTGTATGTTTGAGACTTATTATGAATGTTTCACTTTCCTATTATGTGACGCTGGACTGTTGACAAGATGATATTGTGTTACTGCGCACGACATTTTGTTTTGGTTCACTTACGGTTGTGCAGTGATTTGACTGTTTGTCTTTTGACTGTCTACTGGAAACGTTTGTTTGTTGATTTGATTCCTGTAGGCAGAGTTTTGATCCCTTTTGCCGGGAATATTCCTATTGACCGACAGGTATTTAACAGTTGTATTTTTTAACCAGTTTTTACCGTGTAGTACGTATTTGTACCCGAGAACGTTTTGGACTGTATAGTTACCCAACGGCACTGTTGAGGTATTTTTGTAATTTGACATAACTTATTGTTGCTTTGATAGTACCACAGGATTTTGTTACGAATCTACTATCGAATTTCTACAAACCGTGTTTTGATATTTTGATCCAACCTTTGACTGTGCGTCACTCGCGGAAGTTAGGAAGCTATACAGTAGAACGCAGGAACTAGTTAGATTCACGTCAGTTGGCACCGCCTCGTTATTTCCCGCTTTCAGGCCAAGATTATTGGATTCTGGCCGCTACAAGGAGTATGATGAAACTGTATTTCAGTAGGGCCTCCTGGAAACATGGACGAAGCCGTTCTTGATGAAATACTCATTTTACCTGATCATGCGGTATAAATTGCAATATTTTTCACTTGGCGTAAAAAATTGAGGTTCATGACCGGAGAAAGATATTGACCGCCAACCGGACTTGGCTGCTCATGGCTATCCGCATGAGCTTAGAGGTAAGATATACAATCGAGATGACGGAAAGAAATTGGCAAAGAGCAGTGTAGGTGCTTTATTTCATCACGTAAACATGCCAAACATGTAGGTAGGTTAACCACTAACATTACTGACATCGATATATTTGTCACTCAGCCTGTGTGAAACTTATTAACAGAAGGTGCATCCGGCTGAACAACCATTGTTTCTCGACACCCATCACTGAAAGTAAGCCGACCGAATACATACATTTGTCGCCACTTTTTATGCACTTGCATGTTCTTTCACACGAAGTAAACGACTGTGCTCAGTTTTTCTTATCCTTCAGGAGCGGACGATATACACAGGCCCTGAACGCGATGAATGACTGAGAAAATCACTTGTAGTTTTTTTAACGCTGATCGTTTTTGTACACATTGCTGCTTTCATAGAATACATCATTTATGTAATTAGAGACGACTTAAAATTTTGGCTTCCGGGATCGATACCGCTGCATGGCAATACGAAATACTTGGTTCGATCAAGTTGATTAATGTATCGGTTATATAAGAAGAGAATTCGCTGTAGGATGGTCTCACAGACAGGAAACAACAGGAAATTCCTAGCGAAAATTTAGGGGAAGCGCAAATGCTTCTCGGGAAAGTAATCAGAAGTTCAGAGAGGTTTCCTGACGAATAGTGGCAATTCTAGGACCCAAAAAGTAAGATTTTGTGGAAATTCTTTGGAAAATGAGGGTCCCTTGTTACCTTTCCTTAGAATCCCCCCAAAATTTCCATAAATGTCTCCAAAATGGTGCTTTTAAGGACTCGCTACTTAACGACACATAGGAACATCTTACGACAATAATAAACATAGAGTGAGGTATTAGCACAGCAAAAAACGTTAGAAATTAGTTTGTAATTAAATAATGTGACGAGGTACACACAACCAACGCATGGCAAGTAAAGCTAAGGTACGGAGAAACATACATACAAGAGAAAACCCATCGTCGGACTTTTGTCTTCATTTCCCTTCCTGCTATCTCGCCTTTCTTTCTCGTTATCTGCAAGCCCTCAAGCGTTGAAAACTGCCTTGGTTATAACTGAAACCAAACTTTAAAGAAACAAACCGGCTCTGAAACTACCCGTTGCCAAGTATTTTCGCTGCACTCGCAACGGAGAGGTGCCATGTCGAGAAACGAATAGTTTCTCTCGAACTGCAACTTTATAACCATCAAAACCTAAGGGCCATCATGGGAGTGAACAGGAACGTGCTACATTTACCTACCGCGGAGCTGTCATGACCAGGTAAAAAAGAAGACAAAAGTCTCCGGACACTCACTTGATGCACTAGAACAACCCCACAACATCTTTGTGATGGAGTTGAAAAAAGCACATACTCTGCTTTCAGTTATAATATCCAGTGAGATTACCAATCTTTGACGTTAACTTGTACAAGAATGAATAAAATCACTAGTCATACACTCATTAAAGAATGGCAAATAACAAACCGCATGCATTCATTCATGCACAAGCTTTTCATCACCTATAATTACCAAGATATGACAAACAGCAATGGTGGTATTAGCTTCAGGCTTTATACCTCTTCAGACAATCACACGCTCTAACTACGAAGGCATGGTAACCAGAGTGAACGCCACTTTGCACTTCCCGCATTGACAGCTCAGTGCTGTCACCCTTCAGCTGTTGCTTAAGGTTTTCAAATCCCAATTATGGCCTCATCTGGAAGTCTTCGATGCAGAAGCCCTTCCACCACTCAAGAGAGATTCTAATCTCCTTGAGAAAATAAAGAGATCTGCAACAAAATCAGTTGCTGGATTAAAGAGGAAAGACCTACTCTGACAGACTGAACGCCTAAACCCATCTATTTATGCCATCACAGAAAGGAGGGTAAGGTCATTGTTCCCACAACATCATCCATCAGGCGAGCCATGCAAACAAAATAACCTTGCATGCAACATGGAAATAATTACGGAGGAGCCCCATCAGGATAGCACATCCAAGTGGCAACTCTAGTTTCAGATCAAACGTTTCTCCTTAAGAGCGTGTGCTTTGTACAATACTCTACCGCCGGATAAAGTCACAGCCTCCTCAGCGGACTTACTCAAAAGGCGGTTAGATAGTTATTTTGTAGGGTTCACTAGGGACGTACTCAGGGGATTGGTGACCACATTGGCCCACCATTAATTCCTTCTTATGTATCACTCACCATCTCTTGTCGATACACGCGCAGTATGTATTAGCTGTGCCGTGGCAACCAGACCCAAACAATTTACTTTTGAACTTCGGGTAAGTCCCATATACCTTTTCCCACTGCTTTGCTATTCATATTCAGAGACATACAAACAGGAGTCTCGAAAGACCACTAATCTTCCCAGCAACACTCAGCTCCTTAACCATCTCAGTTAACGAGTGGCAGTTGCCAGCTCAAAAATACTTCACCTCATCAGAGCTGAAGGTGGAAAAACAGGAGATATTTCCCTACATAAGCAAAACGAACAACAGAATCCATGCCCAAAGAACTGGGCGTGAGAGGTCAAAGACTCATTTTCCTACGCTTGTATTATTGATTTTGGATTTTGAGAGGGAAGGCTCCTTCCGTGTCGTTATCAACCATTCGAAAATGTTAGAAACGGGAGCTCAAAAACTTAAAATTTCACCTACTAGTACTATTGATGTTAGATGTTGGGTGCCGGTGGGTTCAACGGTTGTGAAATGGAGCGTTTTTCATAAACATTCTCCAACAAACATTGGGTGAGGCAAGAAGTCATCTCCAGGTGGTATTGTATTTGAGCAGGACCATAGTCATAGTCATAAAGATGAAGACCTTTTCTGTGTTCTGTATAAATATTTTTATCGATATGTGCTGTTTTTATAATGCTGTCTATCATTGAACGTGTTTCATGCCGTTTATTCATGTGCAAAGTATTGGCTGCACCTCCAATTCTTACGCGAAAAGTGAGTATAGTTATTCAGGATGAATAATACTTGCAGATAACAGCGAGTAAGTTGAGGCTTCAAATTGCAACAAAAAAGATTTGTAATAGAGGTATTCACTTCAGAATATATGCATACAGAGCACAAAAAGCACATTTTCACAGGAAACGCTATAACACCTGGGGATAGCTTTTAGCCTCACCCACAAACGTTCACTGGTAGTGTGGACTATTCTCTTTCAACAGAATGTGTAGTTTTGCAAGAATTATGTTGACAACTGACTGGGACATGCATATGTTGACCTTTCTTGGGAAGATTTGGGTTGGCATCAGTGGGTTAACCCGAGCGCTTAAGCTTTTTACTTTCAACTTCTAATCTCCCCCGTGGTCTAATCTTCATCCTTTCTTTTTCGGAAATAACATGTATGGGTTATTTCTCATGAGAAAGCATAATCTGATTCAAGATAAAGAGGTTTCGAAAGGGTACACAAGTTACGGTAAAGCATGAACAATTTTGTGGACTCTGTCCCGTTTCATTATGGTGAATACCAAAAGTGGTAGTTTCATTAAATTAGTATGTTAGTAGATATAAATCGCCTTCAGACTGTTCCAATGTTGAAATTCATTCCAATCTGCTCTGAGGATAAGACGACTCAATGCAACATAGAGATGTTCGATACGCTGCTCACGAATAATGATAACATATTATAAGTAGGATCAACGTTTTCGATCGTGTGAACAGTTAAGGCTTTGCTGATTATTAAAGAATGTTTAAAAAATTGTCCCATTGGTACAATCATTTAAAGTGATTTGTTTAAAAGTAATTTCATGGTACTTGAGTACCATAATGAATTCGTTATGGCTTCTCTTTTTAGTTTGATTATGAAAGGTTATTTTATTGTATTTAGGACGGAAAATTGGTGTCTATTTGACTACTGAGTGAAAATCCCTTCAGATGTCCATAAGCAACAAAGATGTAGTTGCCTTGTCGAAGTAAGTCATAGTTATTTTGTCTGTAGCCACAAGAATCTATTATTTCCTATGTGTTAGCATTGGGATTTCATTAGCTTAATACACGTGTGCTTTTTATGATAAAACAGGAAATTGTTGTAATTTATATCCTAGAATTCTGGATAATTGGGATGGTTGAACAAGCGATTGCATTTTTTTTTGAATGTTGTTTTACGGGTTCAGATCCCTTATACTACTCTCGATGGACGCTGTTGTCCGCTGGTCAGGTTCAAAATCATTTCATTCATAGGATATCTCTGTACAAGTTTTGCTTTTCACAGTTATCCTGGTGTACTGAATAGGCACCAGGAGTGATCATGCTTTCCAATGTCTAACAGTAATGTTTTTAGTTTAAGCTAACTAACACTCCAGCATCATCAACAGAGGAACAGGCATTACTACGTAAGGGTTCAAATTGCCACAGCTCATATCAGTACATCAAGTAAAAAGGCAGTCAAGTGGAAGATGAAAAGAAAATTCAGTCAAAAGAAATATAAAGTACGAAAAAAGAGAAAGGAAGAATAAGAAAGTGGTGAGATTCGGTATAGCGTTGTTAAGATGAGGATAATGTATGTATACATCTGCGCCACTGACAACGGTTCTGAACCATATCACCTAGAGTCAGTCTCAAACCACTAGTTTCTCTTGCCCCACGGATGGACTCCAACCACCTAGTCTGCATCACCCCACATGACTCATACCAACAATCAGAGACTTCACACATTGATGCCTTGTTTTAGTGTGACCACCTCGAGTCTTTTTCCAGCCTGAACCTATTTCGGCCAACATTGTGTGACGAGGCGATTGACGACTAGGCATGCTCAATACATGTCCTGTCCAAGCCATCTCAGTGGATGACGGTTCACAAGTGTCAACTGTCTCACCTCTCCTCCCTAATACTCTACACCTGACTTCTGCGTTACTCACATGGTGACACCACGAAATACGACTTACGCTGTAAAGACGACGGTTGTCAAACACTTGAAGCCAGCCTTCTCACATCTTCCATCTTCAATGACCATGTTTCACAGCCATAGAGTAGGACAGAGTGGATTGATGTGCAGGTGCAGTACACACGACCCTTAACAGACAGACAATCGGATATTACGATGGCGCCATAGGTGGCGTGAGTTGGCAAAAGCCAGCCGAGCCTTTTGTATTCATGCAGAGATTTCATTGTCCACTGAGCTAGCCACTAGAGTTGATCCTACTTTCCAGGTAAGTGAAGTGGTTGACACACTCATCTACTACACTCACTCTCTTTTGTTAGCCACGGTGGGGCATTTGGGTGGTGAGAAACGCATTCCAAACATTCTCAAACTGCCACTCAGTGTTCCGAAGACTGCATCTTGTCAGCGTCTTCACCTAACAGGGCTATGTCATCTGCGTATTCTAGGTCTGATGAAAGTTATCCTGCAATTAGGTCAACCTGTGTTTAATCAGGTGACGAGAGGGAGGCCTCCGTAAGAATATTTATGATAAAATTGATTAAGAATGGAGAGAGTGGGCAACGTTAAAGGACACCACTCGGCGAACACAGCTCCTTGGACATCTCATCGTAAGCTGTAACACGCCCACAAGTGTTTGAGTAAAGAGCCTTCGATAAGGTGATGTATTTACTCGTCACGCCTTTTAGTGAGAGACATTGCCATAAGACTTCTTAGTCAACGTAGCGTAGCTCTTTGGGTTCCTGTGATATACAAGCGCGACTGCCTCGTCAGGGTATCAGCTATCGGTCGGTAGTAGGGCACTCTAAAGATGTGTATCCGGTGTTGGTAAGTTGAAGGAACTTCTGAAATCAATATAGAGAAAATGTCAGTTTTGAAGGCATTATTTTCGTCTAATTATCAGTTACAAGACAGTTTTCAAGAGTGTTGGCTTTGGGGATGGCAATGTCTTTGAACAAACTAGTTCTTATTTTGTTGGCTACTACTTTTAGCGACTTCCTATATTTGAGTACTATATAGATGATGCTGAATTCGGCTGTGCTGTGCATAGTGGAGATCGTTATTCAGCAGGTGAAATTGTCGTGGGACATGGTTTGATATGGCTTAAATGAATTGTTCTCATAACACTTCAGAAGTTACCATACACAGAGTTATGGTTTGAGAAAGCAGGACAAATAAACTTTGTATTAAACTTCTGTTGTTACAGACTGATATTTATTATGTTGATGATTCTCTGGATGGAATTTCAAAAGGCCATAAAAGGCATGATTAGGTATCGATGACAGTGTTCGAAGTGCTGAGGTTTGTTTTCTTTTGTACGCCGAGAAGAAATAAACTCAGAAAACCTGAATAATTCATTTGATGATGGGATCTTTTATGATCCTAAATTAGGTTGTTTTATCAGATTTAAGATATGGTGATACAGTATCGTGTACTGGTTAACGTTTTAGGCACAATTCATTGTCCATAATCATATAATTAATTCCTTACCTTTATGACCGTTCGTATATATTCCTTTGTTTATTGTATTTTTTTTCAGTGTTTTTTTAAGAGTTTCTACTGCATAGAAATAAAGTCAGTAAAAGATGAATCGAAAACGCCTTAAATATTATCCTTTTTTATTTTCATAGTTTTCTATATCCTGAAAGAATTGCTCGTCAAACATTGGAAAGTATTAGTAGTATGGCTCAACAACAGTTTGCCAAATCTGATCGGTATAAATTATGTCGTGTTTTAGTGAGTTGGAAAAAAACAATCCTTTTTTCTGAATAATTCTTCTTTTACTTATTATAGATGTTTCTACTTCAGTATGACTTTTTATATGAAACCCTATCCCACTTTATAGCTGCGTACTTGCTATGGGATTTTTGGAAATCAGAAACCATTACAAATAGTAATAATAATCCATTTATGGAATTTTTAATTTCATTTCTGGTTAGTTTATTTACTGTATTTGGGGTTAACTTTAATAAACTTATAGCAGGATGAGACAAACTGTAAATTGCCACGGTCAGCAATCTCAATGTTTCATACACTTCTTCATCAACCTGATCAAATTCGTGATGTATGTATGCACTTGTATCTAATGGTTTTTTTTGCTTAATTCTTGTTTTCTTCACCTAGTTTTTAAAGTATACTCCATCACAGATATTTGATTTACCCTGTCCTAATGTTGATACTAAAGTAAGTGATTGTGAATACTCGATTTCTGTCTTCATAAGAAAAAGTAAACTGGTAATAAAAAGTAATATTATTGTTTAACATCTAATTTTTAGTTTGATTGGGATATTAATCAAGTAATTAATAACTCATCAACTTCATCTTCGCATATTTCAAAGTTGGCAGCATCTGGATTGGCTTGTGTTGTACCTGATGAAGATGTGCCAAGTTCATTTGAGTAAGTTGCTTTATTAGAGTTTGACAAGTTTTCTACAATATTAACCTTTAATTACAAGATAATTTATAGATCTTTATGAAGATTTTCTGCATAGTCCTGACAAACTGGCAGAAAAAATTTAGAAATCAATGTTATTGTATATCATTTCAGGTTGCTACAGTACGTATAGGGGAAAATTATCAAGAAGGGAAAAAACAACTGATATCATTATTCTGCCTAGAGGTTTGTGGAGGTTTATTAATTCATTTTAGGTTAGAATTCATCGTGGACTGACATCAGTTGGAGGAACACTGGAAACCTGGGAGCACCAGACAGTTCTTTTGTCCTCAGCAGTACGCACCCATACCCCCCCCCCCCAGGAATCGAACCCGCAACCTTCCGCTTCCATGGCCAGCACGTTACCGTTGAGCCGCTGGGTAGGAATCCATTAGTCCACATTTCCAACTTCGATCAGTTCACCACTGATGTAAGTCCATGATGAATTCAAACCTAATATCATTATTGTTAAGGAGTTTAAGGGAAGGGGATAACTGATCACATTTACATGAAACTACCGTCTTCGAAGTTATAAATGCACTTTTTATGCTTCAACTGAACCATTGCAAGACTACATTGTGCATGCACATTAGATTCCAGAGGATTTTCAGCCATAAATTTCTTCACTTAGTAAGAGCCGAATTCTACTTGTCAAGTAATGATCAATATCCATATATTTATATATAATGATTTTTCCCTTGGGTTCCTAGTCTACCATAGAGTTTCAGTAGCAGGCCTCCATTTTAATCTGTTCTCTGACTTCACGAGTGTCCAAAAGCTTTCATTACTTCCTCACACGATCTCCTCCATGTCACCCTCAGCTGGAACGCCTAACTCGTCGCTTCCCATTTGACTTCCACCGAGGACCTGGCGTGGAACGTGATGTCCCCAAACCGTCTTCTCGGTCTATGTCCAAAACAATCCAATTTTACCTTCTTCCACTGCATATTCGTTGGGCGGTGGGTTCTTGGTTAGTTCATTCCCAGAGTTCCTTGTTGCTCAGTCTTATTATTCTGGCCATCTGAGCGCAGGCAGCTGTTCAAATATGTCTGTAGTTTGTTGGAAACGCTTCCCGTAACGCGCGAAGTCTCTCAACCACCACATAAAAGCACTGACAAAACTGACATTAGTGCAGAAAGTCCAGTTCTTGTTCACGCTTTATACTGAGTGCAGTGGATCTCCACACTGATTTCAGATTAATGAAGTCTGTCTTTCTGTCTTCATCGTCATCTGTGCCTGAGACGCCTGCAGTTGAGACGATGCTGCTAGGCAGGTAGGTGAAGAGACAACTTGCTTTAGGTTTCCCTGTTCATGGTGATTGGTGCTTGTTGTTGATACTGTTGTTGGTTGGGTATCTTCATCATCTCTGTCTTCTCTACGCTCACCAGAAGGAAGTCCCGTCTTCCTTCACTGCCCTGCCCCGCTTCTTCTGCCAACTTGTTAGTTTTCACCTGTACATCTTCGAGTTTGTGCAACATGACATTAGACATAAGTCATCATCGTTGTCGAGATCCGAATCTTATTCTAGGGTCTCTTCACCGGTGAAACAGCGTATGTCCATCTTCTCACTCCTCACAGTTTGTTGCATGATCGAGCCGAGTCGACCACAATCATGAAGATGATCGGTGATAGTAGGTGGCAACCTTGTCTTACTCCTGTGCGTTATCTTCACTTCGAAGGCATCACTGAGCTTTCGATTGTGAACCACTCGGCATGTAGTCCCATGATATAGTATAAAGCTGGTGTTGAATGTGGTTGATAAAGGTTTGTGGCACTGAGACTGTAGTGTTGAAGCAGCTACCTGCCAAATTCCTTGTCGATCGACGCTGTCGAAGTCCTTTTGAAAGTGGATGAAGTTGAGGATGAGTTGTGTTGAGTTGACTGCTATTGTACGCTCTGTTGTATGATGATGCGTAGTGTAGCGTTGCAGTTTGATCGGCACATGATTTGTTCTTCTTGAAGTCAGCCAGCTAGCCAGTTCTGGTCTTAGTTTTGAATCGAGAGCATTTTTTAGTGTCTCCCGGATGATGTGGTATGGTATTTTGCTTGATTTTGGTGAACAGGAGCATGATTCCACTCCAGTTTTTGTAGAGACTCAGGTCTCTGTTCCTTGGGAGTTTCACAAGGTCGCCGTTTGTTCGACTCGGTAGGTACCTTCCCTTCCTTCCTTTCAAACATTGTGCAGTAGTTGTGTGAGCATGTTTGCTGTTGTGTCTGAGTCTGTTATGAGTGGTTCTGGAGAATTCCATCTGGTCTTGCTGTTTTCCCGACTTTGGGTAACTTTAAACTTTATGGTTTTGAAGACTCCTGCTTTGGTTAGAGGGTTTGTATTCACTGGTATTTCTGTGACTTGGCTGCTGGTGGTAATTCTGGTCTAATTGCATTTGGTGGTGGTGGTCGTGGTCGATTCAAGAGCTTTTTGAAGTGTTCAGCCCAATAACTATTTTGTTTCTCCTCTTTTGTAACTAAGTTTCTTTGATTGTTTTTGTCTGTGTTGATCTCTTTCCGGATAATAAGTAAGCTGGTTATTTGATATAGTGTTGTCAGGTCTCTCCTACCTTCATTCTGTTCTGCTTTACTTGCCAGTGTGTCTTAGAAGGTCTTTTGCCTTTGCGCGCACTCCTCTTCACTTCTTTGTCCGGTGTTTTATACGTTTTACTCAGTTCTTTTGTTTTGCACCCTTGCAATGGTTCATCTTATGGTTCACCATCTTCCCCTCCCTCGTCTATCAGGTCCCATGTGTCCGTCGAGATCTGTTCCTTGTCTTGTTTCCTCTTCCTTCCTAATTCTGTTATGCAGGTTTCTTTCCACATCTCTTTCGAAGACTGTCAGTGTTCTTCCATGGAGATGTCTTCAGGGATGTTGCTCAATGTCTCGCATTTTCTCGTGTTGACTGACTGACGTGTTGTCCTTTGTAGTTTCATCCTTCAGTTTCTGTTGTAGGTGTTCAACTGGAACTGCTGTCTGTCATCAACTTGTTTGAAGGTTTTCAACTTGATTTAGAACGTAGGTTCCTTGCAGTAGGTGGCGTGTGGTGTGAACCTACATCTGCTCCCCTTCTTGATTTGATCTTGTGTCCAGTAGGTTGGCTGCGTCTCGACTTTATTCAGATTGAGATGAAGTTGATGTGATTTTTAGTGTATCGTGGTGTCTGGTGAAATCGAATCCATGTGATTTTGTGAATATGGTTGTGTTTGTACACCGTGCCTCTAATCATGAAATCGTTGAATGCGCAGAATTCTCCATTTTTCTTCATTGCACCGCGTGCTTGTCGACTGATGATTGGTATTGGATCTCTTCCTGTGTTGTCCACTTCGAGTTTGGCATTCATGTCAGCTCACCCATTCGAATGAATTTTGATGTCGCCATCTAGGGTGTGGTGTTGTGCATTAGTGATTGTAGTTGTCTGTAGAATTCCTCTTTCTTCTCTTCATCTGCGCTATTTGTCGGTGCACAGGGTAGTACTGTATGATTGTGACTTTCCTTCCTTTTGAGTTGAACTTTGCTGTTGTCGTTTAGGTGACAATATCGGAGTAGATTACTGACTCTCCAGTTGATAGTCTGGAGAGTCCACTAGCATTCCATCTGCTTTCTCAGATTCCTAGCACATCTCTGCCATGCCTCCTCATCTCTTTTGCAGTCTGAGAAGCCTTGCTAGGTTCGAATATTGTGCGGACATTTCATGTCCCCATTCTCTTTCATCGAGGGAGGATATGATGCATCGGCCAATTGGCTTCCCGACGGCTTTCACCAATCGGCGCCATTTCGTCTCTCCGATTCCAGGGGGGAATAAGTTTGCTTTTATTTTATATATTTTCTTTGTGCTTCGAAGTTTCTTTAGCGATTGGATTGGTTGTAGGGAGTAGGGTTGCCAGCCCTATGCCCAACCTTCCCTGTTGATCCAGGCTTAGGACCGGCTAGTAACTAGTTAACGAGGCGGGGTTATGTATATCATTTATATGATAGGTAGCGTAGTTTCTCGATAAAGCTTGATGTTATTCAACTTCTTGTCTTTGCGTTTCTTTTACTCTCTTCGCATATGTTGTGTAACATAAACTGTCTATTTGACGTTTTTTACAATCGTCAGTTGTTTTCTCACTGGGTTTCAATATATGGAAAATATACTTGTATCTCCTAAGGTATATAAAACGGTTTCTTTTACAGTTTTCAAGTTGACATGATTCTATCAGAGTTTAGACATGAAATCATTTGTTTGAATATTATCGAGTAACTTTGTGTGTGCACGTCTTTTGATCCTACACAGTATCAAATACAACCATAATGGCTCAGTTTATTTTATGGACGTGAGTGAGATAGATTTGAATCCGTTGTAGAGGACAAGTTTACGTTGAGATGAAGACGAAAGTTGTGTTGACTGCTGATAAGCATGAATATGTGTTATAGGGAGTGGATATCTGCCGATAGTCTTCACGAAATCAGGATTTATAAATAATTTTACGTAGTCCCCCTACTATCGTGATTTCTAATATTTCCTCTTCTAAATTTTTGTTGTAGACCTTCATTTCATTTGCATAGAGTTGCTACAGGTGATTCATCCAATATATCCGAATTACAACGTCAATGTTTGGACTCTTTATTGTCGCATGGTGAACCATTAACTTGTCGAAATAATTTATACCCAGAATTCCTTCGAATAGCTCCACCTTTGTTACCATGTCCCCAAGGAATCGATAAAATTCTCTATGATGTAGATGAAGAATATGAATCTCTTAGTCATACAGAATTCTGTGCTCGTCCTATGCATAAGAAATTGTTAACAAACGAAAGTGTATCCAAATATGGTTGGTCAGAAGAACTTATATGGCTTAATCCAGATGTTGTGGAGCACGATTTTCATTGGAATAACAGTATAGAGTTGGTTAACATGACAGTTGAGGTGATTCTTAAATCAATTACCTTCTATTTTTATCTAGTTTGGTTTTTATATAATTGTCAGGTGGAGGATTCTCGGTAAATTTAATACTCTTAGGCTTACACACCCATTACAAATTTCTTATTGCTGAAAATCTACTTTTATTCTTTTAGTCCTGTTTGAAGTATGCACACCTGATCTTCTTCGAATCGAAGTTGTATCCTCAGGCTTTGCTGTAAACATACTGACAAACAGACAAAATCAACCTAGAACATTAGACATAAGTACATCGGTTCAAGTTACAGCACTTCACAGTAGTCAACAATGAACAGGTGCATAATAAATGACTGATATCTAGGTAGACAGAGTTGTCTGAGAGAATAATCTGAAGTTAATGGTTAGTACAAATATTCAACCTTCAGCAGATGTCAAGGAATGAATACATCTGCGCCATTGTGACCGGTTTTCAACCATGTCACCAAGAGTTCTCAACACTGATTCCTATGGTCTAGGGGACCTCAACCAAGCAGTCTACATCGCCCCACATGGCTCAGACCAACAGTTAGGGACTTCTTAGACTGGCGCCCCAGATGGAGTTCCTCCAGAACCACTCATAACAGACTCAGACACAACAGCAAACATGCTCACACAACTACTGCACAATGTTTGAAAGGAAGGAAGGGAAGGTACCTACCGAGTCGAACAAACGGCGACCTTGTGAAACTCCCAAGGAACAGAGACCTGAGTCTCTACAAAAACTGGAGTGGAATCATGCTCCTGTTCACCAAAATCAAGCAAAATACCATACCACATCATCCGGGAGACACTAAAAAATGCTCTCGATTCAAAACTAAGACCAGAACAGGCTGGCGGGATTGGGCATACAGTGAGAAGGCCTACTGGAGACATCACGCACTAGGCCCTCTAATGGAATCCAAAGAGGAAACGACGAGTTGGGCTTCTTAGCTGAGGGTGATATGGAGGATATCATGTGAGGAAGAAATGAAAGCTTGTGGTCAGTCGTTGTACCAGGTTGAAAAGACTGCAGAAAACAGAGTGCAATGCTGACGTGGTACTGAAGCCCTTTGTTCCACTAGGAACCCAGGAGGGAAGTAATAATATAAATGGACTGGTGCCATATATTGGTGTGGCCATCTTGAGCTTTTCTCCAACCTAATTCGACTTTCCTAACATGTTGATACGTTGACCCTAGAATTTCATATTACTAAAAATTTAGAACACACGTTTTTTCATGAGTTGTATGTTTATTTCAACAGTGAGTTCGAGAGGAGAATATAAATAGTAATGAGAGATTTACGTAAAAAGATTAACAAATCGATTAGTTGGTGATAACTAACAGATAAGTTGTGTAATCATAAATGAGTTGAGCTCAATTAGTAAAAGAATCATCAAAGTATAAAGAAAAAAATTCAGTTAAAACTTGGATGTCATCAGATACAAAGAAGAGTAAAATATTAGTTTTTACCAGTGCAGTTAGCGAAGACGGGAAGAGATGATGAAGATACCGCTCCAATAACAACAAACTCCAATCACCATCAATGGGAGAAACTTAAAGGAAGTAACCTCCTTCACATATCCAGCCAGCACTGTTTCAACTACAGGCGGCACAGATGAGGATGTCAAAGTCAGAATCGGGAAAGCAAGATAGGCGTTCATTAGCCTGAAACCAAGGTGGAGATGTACTACGCTCAGCATGTGGAACAAGATCCGAATTTTCAACACCAATCCAGTCAAGTCTATGCTTCTGTATGGTTCAGAGACTTGGTGCGTTACGAAAGGCATTTCTAACAAACTACAGGCATTCATCAGCAAATGCTTACGCTGGCTGGTTACCGAAGCTCAGATGGCCAGAATAATGAGAATAAACAACAAGGGACTCTTGGAACGAACCAACCAAGAACCTATCACCCAACAAATATGCAGAAGGAAGTGGAGATAGATTGAGCATACACTGAGAAGGCCTGCTGGGGACATCACGCGTCAGGCCCTCGAGTGGAACCCCCATGGGAAGCGACGAGTTGGGTGTCCCAGCTGAGGGTGACATGGAGGAGATCGTGTGAGGAGGAAATAAGAGCTTGTGGACTGTCGTGGAGCCAGGTGCAAAAGATTTCAGAGAATAGAGTTCACTCGAGACGTGCTACTGAAGCCCTATGTTCCATTAGGAACCCAATGGACTAATAATAATAATAATAGTGCAAAGAAAGTTTAATCACTGTTTCATTTTGAATATACGATTCCGATTTCAGTCGTTTGATGACTACAGCTTCAGTCAACTTGAAAAGATTTGAATTAGGTTGTTTATTGATTGCCTTGAAGGATTCTAAGATATCCACTATATGCCATGCATCGTGTCGTTAAGATGCTGAATCACTGTATTACTGAACGTATTTATTCCCCTGAGACAGCTTGTACTAAGGAGCATATTGTTCTGTAGAGAGAGGTGAACTTGGTTGTAGGATACGTTCTGTTCACAGTGTAATTTTCAGCCATCTATCAAATCTTTCAAACGGATCGTCACCTTTTTTGAGTAAAAGTATATCCAGATTCTTTTAAATGTGACTAGAAACCGGTGAAATAATTTGATTTCATGTTATTCTCCTCCAGTCATTGTTCTTTCTCTATATCATAAAGTTTTTTACCTAAGTCCAAGCGTGTTCACCGTTTTCTGTAATATCTTTCACAGAGATGTTCATCGTAGATTCCCCTGCTAGTCATCTCGAAAATATTATGATCGCATAATACATGTAACATATACAATTCATGTGTTGATACAGATCAATTCATTTGTGTTGTGCAAATCAACAAAATGGACTTGAATATTACTTGCATAGTGTACATATTCTGTTCGATTGTAAGCTGCTGCATATTAGTCAGCATAAGTTTAATTCATTTTGGGAGTTTGTAGGGATTAGTAGATTTTTTTCAAGTTGATATTAATCATAGACTGACATCAATTGGAGGAACACTGGAAACCTGGGAGCACTGGACAACTATTTCGTCCTAGTATGGGGACTCTTCAGCAGTGCGCACCGACGATTCCGCCAGAGGTCGAACCCATGACATTCAGGTTCCGTGGCCGTGAGGACAAATACTCAACGATTACATTGGATGGTAGTTGCGCTATGTCGTGAACTAACAGAAGTTGGAAATATGCACGATTGGATTCTGACCCAGTGACCCAACGGTAACGTGCTGGCCACGAAACCTGAAGGTCCTGGTAGGACGGACGGGGTCATGGGTGCGCATTGCTAGGGAGTCCCGTAGTAGAGTGAAACAACTGTCAAGTGCTCCTAGATTTCCAATGTTTGTTCAACTGATGTCAGTTCACAATGAATACCAACTTGAAAAAGCGTAAGTTTACTTTGTATTATTCATAGTTAGTTTTCTGATCCAAAATCCATCACTTTATTGTTAACTTTTACTATAGCTACGTCAGTTGATTTCCACAGCAATAGCATCCACATTAACTCAGTCACAACAGCAAACTGTTGTTCAGGCAATTAAGGATAATCCGAATGTTATTTATAATGTTGGAATTACTTCGGAAATTGTAAGTATACTATTTTGAAGTAATTTTTTTGGAGTTCATTACTTATTAGTACTGACTTCCGGTACACTCTATTATTATTACTACTATTATTATTGTTATTTATATTATTATTATTATTATTATTGTTACCATTCGTCTTCTTCCCCTTTCCTGTATCATCTACTTCATTGACCGTCCTACCGGTACAGAGCTTCTTGCTGTCAGTAGCTCGGATAAGCTGGCATAACTTCCGAGTATTGCCAGATGCAGCTGCTGCTTCCATCTTCTTTGCGCTTTCTGATCACCAAAGGTTATAACCCCCACGTAAATGCTGCAAAAGCAGATTTACTCACCGTGTTTATGGTAATCTACACCTTCTAAAAGTTTGACTGTTAACCTTGAATCTAGTTATGTTTTGTGCTTAGTCGGGTTCGATCCCTGGTGGGGTGGTGTTGTGGGTGCGCACTACTAAGAAGCCCCATACTACGACGAAATAGCTATCGACTGCTCCCAAATTTTTATTGTTTCTCCAGCTGTCAGTCTATGATGAGTACCAACCTGAAGGATGAGAGCAAAAAAGAAGTGTGACATAGTTGACTCTGATCTTGGTAAAAAAAACTTCACTAAGTCAGACGTCGTGTAAGAATAAATTGTTTTTGTACACATCAAAGTGGTTTCAATTTGCGTATGGTTATCACTTCTGAGAATTTCACTATGCCTCCCTGACGGTTTCTGTGTAAAATTCTAAAAGCTGTTTGAATAGCAATTTCGTAACCTCTTTATGCAATGTGTTTAGCTAATTATGAAAAAGGTTATCTATCCTCTGCCCTTAACAAAGCATCACACTCCATCCTTGTTTGAAGCCACTTAAGTATATGCTCTCCTACTCTCTGACTGCATGCCTCAATTACTTCTCCCTATGTATATGTAACCACACACACACACACACACCACACACACACACCCACACACACACAACACACACACACACACACACACACACAACTAGTAAACATAAGGGGATATGACGTAATTATTTGTGCAGTGTTAGTGTTGATAGTGAAGTCCCATAATAAGCCCAAGTGCATAATATATTTTCTTAATGGCTCATGTTAGCTTACGTCTCAAAATTATACAATCTAACTCGCTTCTATATTGACTTAACTACCCTATTTGTGAGGTAGCATTCATCATGGACTGACATCATTTGAGGAACTATTGAAAATCTGGGAGCATTGGACAACCGTTCCATCCTAGTATGGGGCTCCTCAGTAGTACGCACTCATGACCCGGCCAGGGTCGGACTCAACACCTTCAGGTTTCACGACGAACGCGTTAACCGTTCAATTACTGAGTCGGTTCTCACTCGTTCACAATTTCCAACTTCTCTCAATTCACCATATAGCGTGACTATCACCCAACGTCTTCAGTTAGCATCCACTTCACATCCGACTGGTTGACTCCATAGGTCACGGCTTCTCATTAGAGCTTCCTGATATCCATCTGGAAGCAAGTCACTAACGAGCACTATATGGTGTAATGCATTTTTGAAATGAATGGGGATTTTTAATTTAGAGGTAGTATTCATCATGGAATGACATGAGTTGGGGACCATTGAGAATGTGGGAGTACTGGACAGCTGTTTCGTCCTAGTATGCGATTCCTCAGCAGTACGCACCGTGATTGATAGTACCTCTAAATTAAAAATCCCCATTCATCTCGAAAATACATTATTCTATTTGTCCTCCCAGTCTTCGGTTTAATATAAATTGACTTGGCAAATAAAATGGGTTATCAGATTGTGCGAAATGTATTGTGCAAATACAAATTTTGTCTTCTAAATACATCATCTAAGCACTAATATAGAGAAGTAAAACTTGAGCACTGTTGTCGGTTGTAGGGTTAGGGTTAGGGGTGCTCTGTTATTCTAATCAATCTCGATCCTGGTCGACTACTTCGACCTCGTAATCATTGCAATGAATTTGGTAAACCAGATTATTTTGCTTAATTGCATCAAACTCTGTTAGAAACAAGCTTTGTAAGTTAAAAGCTCCTCATGAGGCAAAATAATCTGGTTTACCAAATCCATTGCAATGATTGCGAAGTCAAATACATAGGTGAAAGTAGTCGATCAGAGTTGATTAGAATAACAGAACACCAAAACTTAGCTAAGCTAAAACTAGTAGGTCCTTATAAGATAAGAAATTTAAAGAAATGCTCGGTCATAGCTCTGCATGCAATTACACACAATCACACAGTAGGGTGGGACAAAGTGACAGTATTGGAAACTAACTTAGTTGGGTGGGTAGAATGAAGGAGAGATTGATGACTGAATCTTTGTTTATTGAATCAACACCAAATAGATTTCAGATTTTTCAGATTCAGATTTGTTGTTTGAGGATAGTAGGCTGGGAGCCTATATCAGTCTTTTTCAGTAGATTTTCGTGCTTGTCCAATCCCCTTTTGAACGAGTCAGTTGGTGATGCGGATACCACTTCTTTTGGGAGTTGGTTCCAGGCGTTGATTACTCGACGTTGAGAACCAGTAATCTGCGGAGACTATATTCGTTCTTTGCTTTTGTAGTCTCCTGCTATGTCCTCTGAGGTGTTCCGTTCTAGTGAGAAGGAAAAGATAGATCGGGTTCGAACTCATTTCTTAGAATCCTGTATAACATGATTAGGTCTCCCCTCTGTCTGCAATAGGACAAAGTGAAGAGGTTTAGCTCCTTAATTTGGTCTTCATAAGTGAGGCCAGCCATCGCAGGGATCATACGAGTGGCTTCCCTCTGAACTCTTTCTAGAAGGTCTGCTTCACCTTTCAGACAAGGACTAGCTGCCTGTGTACAGTTTTCTAATTTAGACCTAACTAAGGATGTGTATAAGATGGTGAACATATCACCACTTATTTTTATAAACGGTCTACGTAATGCCCAGGTAGCCCCAAGACTTCGAGCTGCTACCAATCGACAGTGTGCCTTGGTTTTCAAATCATAACTCATTGTGACTCCTAGGTCATTGTAGGTCAGTTCTGACGGCAAAGGAGTCCCACCAATATCGTAGGTGTTGCTGTGTGTGTGCCCCAAGTGTATGCTCACACATTTATCTGCATTGATTGGCATCAGCCACTTCTCTGACCAGGTAAAGAAGCTGTTGAGGTCTCCCTGAAGCGCATGTATATCTTCATCGTTCCTAATTTTCCCGCTAGATTTCTACATCATCAGCTTAGAGAAGCATAGGAGATTTAGTGATATTTGGCAGCTCATTTACGTATAGGAGAAACAGTAGGGGGCCCAGGACTATGCCTTGCGGCACTCCACTCTCTACCGACTTCCAAGTGGAGAGTTGAGAATTGATCCTAACTCTTTGTCTCCTACCAACAAGAAAGTCTCTTGTCCATGCGAGCAGACTACCAGTGATTCCAAAACTTTGTAGTTTCTCGAGCAACCTGGAATGAGGTACTTTGTCGAATGCCTTACTAAAGTCAATGAAAATGACATCTGCAGGTATCTTATCATCTTAAGACTTAACCCAACTTTCTCTGACTGTAAGGAGGTTCGTCAAGCAAGAGAAATTTCTACGAAAACCGTGCTGTGAACGAGACAATAGAGTGTTGCTCTCTGGGTGGACTGTGATAGCTTTTTGATTACTGTTTCTAGGATTTTTAGTGCGGTACTAGTCAAACTAATCGATCTGTAATTTAATGGGAGCTGCCTAGAACCTGTCTTGTGGATAGATGTTACTATAGGAATCCTTCCAGTAATAGAAATGATTCTACACCTGTTCCAGATATATGGAAAATTCTACTACCCTTGTCATCATAGAGAAGGAGAGAGAATTAGGATTAGATAAAGTCTGTTTCAGTGTTGTGGAGTTACCTGATATGACTGTAGACAATAAATTGCGTCCGAAACGTTATCCAGTAAATGATACTGTTTCTTTACTCCGTCTGACATTTCTAATAAACAGGTATAAATGGTATTATCTAAACACTTTTATTCCATAATAAAACAATATAGATATGCTATCTGTAGGACCTAATAAGGAAGTTATTGAAATGAATATTGTTTATTTATTTTTGAGTTATAGTAAGTTAATTTGCTAACAACACTTAAATAATAGCTAATAAAAATGTTCATTTTATGATGTTGCGAATAGTCTTAGGTTTATGTGTCCTGAGGAGAAACAGCACTACTCATAGAAAGGCAGATACATCCAGCTGACGAGTCACAAATTGGATGAAACTCACGTCTCGGATTCCACCCCTGGTCAATATTTATCATTTACTATAAAATTTATTAGCTTTTTTGGAGATTGTGTGTAAATTTTTTTTTTGATATCCATTTTTCTTCCCTTCTATTTTATAACACGCATTGCTTATGGAATTGGAAAGCTGCCAAATTTGGTTAATCGTAATCCAGTTATTGCTATTGAAGTTTTACAGTTACTGATTACGTCACCAAAACGCGATGAGTAAGTCGATCTGTTTTGTGTGTACACTTCTAAGTCGAGTAAATACTTAGTGTATCCCCCCCCTTGACTTTTATACAGTTTATCTTTATTCATAGCCATTCATTTAGTTAAGAATGTCACTGTCTTAGACTCCGGGAAAAGTGGCTTACTGTTATATCTCTACCGAATTGTGATTGTCTGATCCACATGTTTCTGTCAATTCAGTTTTAACTCTGACCTTACCTGTGATTACCCATGATGAGTCTTGCAATTTAGCCCTCTCAACGGCTTACAACAGAACACAATGTATGGTGCTTATTGTTCTTATATACAGTTAAATTAGCTGAGCACGATGACAATTTATAAGCATGAAGTAACCAGTTTCACGAACAGAAATTGATATAATGCACATGTTAGTATTTATCATGAACTGATATCAGTTGGAGAAACATTGGAAGTCTGGAAGTACTCGACAGCTGCTTCGTCCTACCATAGGACTTCTCAGCAGCAGCGCTCACCCATGATCCCACCCCGCCAGGGATCGAAGTCAGGGCCTTCAGATTCCACGACTAGCACATACCATTAAGCAACTGGGTCGGAACCCGATGGTCTATATTTCTTACTTTTGTCAGTTCACGATATAGCATGACCTCCATCTACTGCCGTCGTTGATTAACTGTCCTCATGTCCGACTTGGTTGGTCTTACTGATCACGACCTCTTATTAGAACATTTGGAATTTTCTGGTTGTATGGATCAACTGTGTGTGTGTGTGTGTGTGTGTCATGCTTCTGTAGCTGAGTGATATAGGCATTGGTTCTTCAACTACTTGTTCATCAGTTTTAAGTCTGCTTCACATATTTCAGTTTAACAGACTAGGCGATAGATATCCTCATCTTGCTTGTTAACTTCGACATTATTCTGACTAGTAATACTAACATAATAAGTGGTTGAAATACTTCAATTTACTCATATATAGGCATTGATATCACTAAGTCATATTAAATACTTAGACGTCATTAGTAATGTGGTAACTAGTTCAAACCTACTTCATCTGTTTTTGAAAAAAAAAACAACAAATTTTCACTTTGGATAGGTTTTTTTTATATTCTTTTCAGAGTAAAACTAAGTTTTACTTCGTAGTTGAGTGACCAGATAATAAACTAAGCACCTTAATTTCATTTCCTTTTTTAAAGGTTTAAAAATCCTCATCATGTAAATTAGAACAAGATATATATCAGTGTACAACATTGTTTTCAATTAGATCCTCGTCAGGCTTTACTCTAATACAAATATATATGAAATTGAACCAATCGTCTAGATTTGTCGGTTGATGTGATAAATGTTTTAAGAATAAAGATAGTGATAATAATACAAAAATAAACATAGGGCTTCAATAGCACGCCTCCATTCCACTCTGTTCTCTGCAGTCTTTTCAACTTGGCACCACGACTGCCACGACTGGGACGCCCAACTCGTCGTTCCCCCTTTGGATTCCACTCGAGAGCCTGGCCTGACGCGTGATGTCCCCAGCTGGCCTTCTCAGTGTATGCCCAATCCATCTCCACTTCCTTCTGCATATTTGTTGGGTAATAGATTGTTGGTTGGTTCGTTCCCAGAGTTCCTTGTTGTTTATTCTTATTATTCTGGCCATCTGATCTGATCTTCAGTATCGAGCGTAAGCAGTTGCTCATGTATGTCTGTATTTTGTTGGGAGTGCTTTTCGTAACGTGCCAACTTTCTGAACCATATATAGAAGCACAGACTTGACTGGATTGGTGTTGGAAATCCGGATGTTGTTCTTTCTGCTGAGTGCAGTAGATCTCCACACTAAGATTAGATCACTGAAAGCTTGTCTTGCTTTTTTGATCCTGGTTTTGACATCCTTGTCTGTGCCTGTGTCGCCTGTAGTTGAAATGATGCTGCCTTGCCTAGGTAGGTGAGAGAGACTACTTCCTTTAGGTTTCTCCTGTTCATGATGATTGGTGCTTGTTGTTGATGCTGTTGTTGGTTGGGTACCTTCATCACCTCTGTCTTCCCTACGTTCACCAGAAGGGAGTCCCGTCTTCCTTTACTGCCCTGCCCCGCTTCTTCTGCCAACTTGTTAGTTTTCACCTGTACATCTTCGAGTTTGTGCAACATGACATTAGACATAAGTCATCATCGTTGGCGAGATCCGAATCTTATTCTAGGTCTCTTCACCGGTGAAACAGCGTATGTCCATCTTCTCACTCCTCACAGTTTGTTGCATGATCGAGCCGAGTCGACCACAATCATGAAGATGGTCGGTGATAGTAGGTGGCAACCTTGTCTTACTCCTGTGCGTTATCTTCACTTCGAAGGCATCACTGAGCTTTCGATTGTGAACCACTCGGCATGTAGTCCCATGATATAGTATAAAGCTGGTGTTGAATGAGGTTGATAAAGGTTTGTGGCACTGAGACTGTAGTGTTGAAGCAGCTACCTGCTAAATTCCTTGTCGATCGACGCTGTCGAAGTCCTTTTGAAAGTGGATGAAGTTGAGGATGAGTTGTGTTGAGTTGACTGCTATTGTATGCTCTGTTGTATGATGATGCGTAGTGTAGCGTTGCAGTTTGATTGGCACATGATTTGTTCTTCTTGAAGTCAGCCAGCTAGCCAGTTCTGGTCTTAGTTTTGAATCGAGAGCATTTTTTAGTGTCTCTCGGATGATGTGGTATGGTGTTTTGCTTGATTTTGGTGAGCAGGAGCATGATTCCACGCCAGTTCTTGTAGCGACTCGGGTCTCCGTTCTTTGTGAGTTTCACAAGGTGGCCGTTTGTTCGACTCGGTAGGTACCTTCCCTTCCTTCCTTTCAAACATTGTGCAGTAGTTGTGTGAGCATGTTTGCTGTTGTGTCTGAGTCTGTTTTGAGTGGTTCTGGAGTAATTCCATCTGGTCTTGCTGTTTTCCCGACTTTGGGTAACTTTAAACTTTATGGTTTTGAAGACTCCTGCTTTGATTAGAGGGTTTGTATTCACTGGTATTTCTGTGACTTGGCTGCTGGTGGTAATTCTGGTCTAATTGCATTTGGTGGTGGTGGTGGTGGTTGTGGTCGATTCAAGAGCTTTTTGAAGTGTTCAGCTCATTGTTTCCTTTGTTTGCTAAATATTCAAATGATAATCAATAGATGCTCCTCCGCTGTCATTCAGTTAGATTTGGATTTGGATGAGAATTTCTTTAATAGGCAGCCAGTGTGAATATGATCAGACCAAACCTTTGGTAATTGAAGTGAGATAAACTTGGTCAACAGTCGAACCTCGTAGCTCAGTTAGTAAAACATCGGGCTGGAAACCCTGTGATCGCTGGTTTGAATCTGACCGCGGTCCTAATTTTCATTTCACCTTCAATCACCACCGAGTACAAAAGTGATAACGTTGACTAAAGCACGTGCAATATAGGTGAAAGTGAGGAGAATCAAGAAAGCAGCATGAAGATGTAGACATTCTGATAATCAGGGTGGGCCAAAAGCTTGTGAAAATAAAAGTTACGTAGTAATGAAGGCGAGGTAAGTGGATAAACAAAGTCTAAACAAATAAAGTAAGTATGTGAAGGCGGTGAAGAATAAGAAAAGGGTAGGAAAAAAACGGAATGATAAAGTTACTAACTAAGTATTCTATGGCCAAAGGAGAGATAAGGGATGTACAGATTTCTCTGGATACAAAGACTAGGATTATTAGCACGAATTCCCACAGCTTGTGCTATGTTAAAAGACTCGTTTGAATACCTTTCGGAGGATGAGGTTGGTATACGGTGAATAAAATCGTGAAAGGGATTTTTTTATCTACCAAGTGATTAGTATCAACGATATGAATAAACCCTAACTTCTGATGGATTTTATCTCTCCCTTTCCCAACCATGAAGGTAGATGCTCAGCAGCACGTTTGTTAAGTTGTCTAGTAGTACGCCGGACATAGCTTTCTTACAAAGACAGCTAAACTTGTAAATATACATAAAAATGGCAAAACTAGATATCTTATCTTTTGTCTGAGCAACAACAATTGGTCGACTGGTAAATGATAGACAGAGTTGTGTGGCGTAGAAGGTCCTCTTAATGGCTCTAGAGAATCTGTGATATAAAACTTCTCCGGCTACATCCCTATTAAATTGCAATTTCATGAAAAACTGTTTCTTTCGTACAGCAATAATTGAAGGTTTCTTTCCCTTGGTTTTGTCCATTCACCTTTTTATGAAACTGTTAGGGTAGCCCATGAATGAATTACGAATATCTTTTTAACTCCTCTTGTACTAGATCATCCGAACATATTCTTCTCACTCTGTTAGTGAGGCATTTAACTAGGTTTGCTTAGCAACGAATGAGTACATGACTAAGAAAATGTGTGTAGCGACTTACAGATGTAGTCTTCCTGTGAGACACATCTGCTGAGTAAACCATCTTCTCTTCTACTCAGAAAGAAATCCAAAGAAATGTATTTTATTCACATTTTCCTTACAAGTATATCAGAGTAAATCCTGAAGAGGATCTAATTGAAAACAATATTGTTCGCTTGTATGTCTTGTTCTAATTTCCTTTTTTACCTAGAAGAAAAAAAGCAATTGGCTGTTTGTTGCATGAAAAATGTACTACACTAACACATGTTTCTAATCATAAAGTTATGCATAAAGTCTTTACAGTGTAATTATACATTGATGGTTATTGTTAACAACTGTGTAAGACACGTTTTGTTAGAACTTTAAATTCCATTTGAATATTGAAAGTAAACAAAAATATCTGATAGCTAAGTACCACTATTCTGATTGATGAGTTTTACTTAGAACTACAAACTGAACTTTATCATGTCATTACGGCAAAAAATCAAGTTAGACAAAAGGAGGATATATACCGAACTATAATATTGGATGAATGTTGTGTTACATCGTGAATTGATAGAGGTAGGATAATATGGACTATTGAATTTCAAGGCAATAGCTCAGTGTTAACATGCTGACCGCGTTAAAGTTAACTGAGTTAGAATAAGCGTAGTTATTAAATGCCTAAATGAC